GGGGCAAGAAAGAGGGAAGGTGGGATGAAATTCAGTGTTCATTTCCAAGGTGAAAGGTTTGGTGTCCTACAGAAGAGCCATTTCCAGCTGCTTGGAGAGCAGAGCTGCATTTGCCTTCCCAGGCTGTGGAGTGGAGTTGTGGGGGGGTTCTCCTGGGGGGGTTCACCCAACCTTTGGGCTGTTTGGGGAGGCTCTCGTGCTGCTCAGCCCTGGGGGAAGCTGCTGTGTTGTAGAAATGGGAACTAGCAGCAGTCCCATGGTGTTTCTCACTTGGGGGAGGCTGCCACTGGTGGGTTTGGTTCCGTTTGCATGTTGTGGAGGCAGAACTTTCAGTTTGCTTTGCTCCTGTGCAGAGGAAGGTCAGGGCTTGAGTCTTGGGTGCATTTATTATCCATGGCACGCACTGCAAACATCAGAGGAATGATTGGTGGTGTGCTCAGGACTCTTTTTTTAAGGCTACAAGGAGAGTGTGGCACAACTGGAGAGGCTGAGCTCGGTGGGAAGCTGCTCCTAGACTAAAATCATCCCAGAGCTGCCAAACTAGAGTGACCTTGCAATGTCTACATACTAATTCTGGCATTTTGGGGTTTTTTTTAGACTACAAACACTGAGCTCTAACTGCTGAATTTGAGGCTGAGGGGAATGATCTTCTTGAATCCCATTGCTGAATAATTGTGCTGGGAGGTCCTTAGTCTTTCAAGCTGCCACTTCCTGAGCACCTTTTGGTGTCCCACGTGGCAAAGGTGGGACTGGGTGTCAGGAGCCCTCTCAAAGTTCATGCTCCCTGTGCTGTTGCTGGATTGAGTCACAGCATGGCAGAGGTTGGAAGGGACCTCTGGAGGTGTCTCATCCAACCCCTCTGCTAAAGCAGCTTCCCCTAGGGCAGGTTACAGAGGAGAGCACCCAGGTGGGTTTGGAAGGGCTCTAGAGAAGGAGGCTCCACAAGCTCTTGGGGCAGCCTGTTATCTTTATAAACATCTGAAAGCATCCTCACTTGAGCTTGCTGTCTCTGGGAGAATTATTTGGCAAGGATGAGCTGACTTAAAAGTAATAAATGCTACAAAACAAAAGAAAACATCTGCTGTTGTTTTTATTGGTTCATGCAGCTGCTCCAGTGGTCCTTCACATGGACCATGTTGCCACTTGACACCAACCAGTTGAAATTCCTGGTTGTTTTGCCCTTGATCTGGACTTTTGTTGGGTTTTTTTAGGTTTATCTGTGACATGAAGGACACCAACCCCCCGAGTGCAGGGCAGAGTGGAAGGTAACCTTAACTCTTAACTCTTCCCTCTACATGTCTTCCCAGGCTTCACATGGACCATGTTGCCACTTGACACCAACCAGTTGAAATTCCTGCTTATTTTGCCCTTGATCTGGACTTTTGTTGGGTTTTTTAAGGTTTATGTGTGACATGAAGGACACCAACCCCCCGAGTGCAGGGCAGAGTGGAAGGTAACCTTAACTCTTCCCTCTCCATGTCGTTCCCAGGCATCTGAGGAGGCCTCGCTCCGGGCTTTGGAGAGTCTGATGACAGAGTTCTTCCACAATTGCACCACAAATGAGAGGAAACGAGAGATAGGTGAGTTCACAGCACTTCTAAAGGAGGGTTCCCTGTGCTTTCTCCTCAGCAGAGATGGCTTCTGTTAAATATAGCAGCTAAAAGTGCTCTAGCTGGTACCAAAGTAGCATCTTAGCCTCTCCTGCTTACCTAGGTACTTGGAAGTCAAGGCTTGTGCAGTTTGGCTTTTGGAGATCCCATGGCAGGTCCTACAGATAAATGAATATGTTGGCAACTCTACTCCTGTGAGCATGGAGATGCAGTTTATCTAGGATAGCAACTTGATCAAGGCAGGAGAAGGATGTTGGGTCTTTCTCTGCCTGCACTTTGCTGAAGTTCACATCTTGGAAAACTTCTACCTGCTGCTTGGAGATGGAGGATGGACTTCAGATCTGCTCAGCATCAAGAAGGGAAAGCAGAAGACTGTCCTAGTTTCTGTGAAATGACAGAATAAACAGAGAGGTTTCATTTTGGCTGGTGTTTCAATTGAAGAGGTCCTTCTGCAAACCAGCAGAGATCCTCGAGGAGCTTTGGGTTAGCTTCTCCCACCCATGGCTGTAAACAGGCACTTTGCTTTTATCCTCAGATTTCTGCCATCTCTTAACTTCAGTGCCAAAAGTATGGTCAGCATGAAAAGACTTCCAGAAATCTGGTAAAATAAAGAATAAGCAACTAGGCAAGTTTGGAGAGTTTTTTCTCCATCCCATTCATGTGGGATGACTGAATCCTGTACCTGAGTGTTCAGAGAGGTTTCTGAGATGCTGCCCTACAGCAAATCAATGGTTCTTGGAGTAATTGCATTAAAAGAAGAGTGGATTATGATGCTCTGTGTGATCTGAAGTACATCTGGTCTTTCACAGTGACCTGATAGCCCAATATTCATCATTTATAGAGAAAATGCCAATACTCAGAATACGTTTTTTTGTGGGGTTTAATATTCAGCTATTAGTCTGGTGTGGTATTTATGTCAAAGCTGTGTTCTAAAATGACTTCCCTATTTTGTTTTCCTTAAAGCCTCTTGTTAGATTGCTTTTAATACTTCAGAGCATGATTTTAATGGTTTTTTTTTTCCTCCTCCTTCAAGTTGAGTCATTCCCTGAACCATGGGGATATCTCCCATGCTCAGGGTGTTATTGTGCTTTCACTAGACATTGTTGTGGAACAATGTCATTTTTTTTTAATGCTCTCTTTTTTTGCAGAGGAGCTTTTAAATAACTTTGCCCAGCAGATTGGAGCCTGGAGATACTGCCTTTATTTCCTGTCAAGCACAAGGAACGACTATGTCATGATGTACAGTCTGACTGTGTTTGAGGTAAGATGTGCACTGTTGCCTCCTTTCTGTCCAGTGCAGTTTTATATGGCAATAATTTTATTGGAAAATGTTGGTCTGAAATGGCAGCCCTAATAAGTACAGTGATAAAAGATGCTTTTATTGCTCTCTCCAAGAGAGGCTGCTTAATGGCAGGCTGAGAGTAGGAGAATATGAATCTTTGTACACAAATTGAAGAATTAATTTCCTGGCATCTCTCAGTACAAATTACCTCCAGTTTCAGAGGCTACTTTAGTTTTCTGCACCATGCTTTTAAGAACGTTATTGCTTTTAAACTCTTTTTTTTTATGGTCAGAAATATGGGCATGATTATCTGACAGCAGCTACTGCAAAATCTAAGAGGGAAGGCAAAGTTGCTTTTATTTTTCTGCCATCTTGTAGTTGTGCTTAATGCTCCTGAACTACATCCCACAAGCTTTTGTGCTAGTCATAGAGGTAAAGTCTCTTTTAAAAGACCATATCCCACCCTTTATCTATCTATAAAAGAGCAAAGTGATGGTTGAAAGCCTAAATATTGATTTGTGTGTCTAGTGGAAGAAGCAGAAGTAGTCTGTGGACTCAGCTGATTTCTCAGTGACTAGTGCAGTTGCTTTCCCCAACAATATTCTGGGGTTTGGTCAACAATAAATAGGTTTCCCTTAACAATATTCTGATCTTTTGTGGCCTCTAAATTGTGTTCTTGGCTGTGTTGGCCATCTGAGCTGCTTTCCTAAATCAGAGGGGGTTTCTATCCTTTGCAGGGGGCCACTTTTTTGGTAGACCAAACAACTCTGTTCTTCAACCTTGTGTTGTTTGGAGGAATGATCCAGATTGTCCTTGTTGACTTCTGCACTTCCAGTGCTTGCCTCATTTCTCTGAGGTTGCACAGAGAGCCTGGACTCCCTCTGCAGACTGAATGTGGTTTGCCTTGCTCTCAAAAAGGGGTAATTGTGGCAAATGCTGTGGGGCTGGATATCACACAGCAGCAGCCTGCAGGAATGAAAATGATTTTCATGAAGAGGAAAGCACGTTTGATTCCTGAGCCTCTGCTGCTTTTCCCCCCCTCTTTGGAGTAGCACTGAAAAAATAATTGTGCCCAGAACAAAGAAATCACTGTCCAAGTGTAAAGAGAAGAACATGGGTCCACAGATGAGAATCTCTCCTTTGAGGAGCTTGAGTTGCCAGTTGGCTACTGTAGTGTTGCCCAGGAAACTGGTCCTGAACATCTTCCCAAAACTGTCTCCCAGGTGGAGAAAGCTGCCACTTTGAGGTCAAGTGAGTAGGACAAAATTCAGTAGGCATTAAAGCATGAAGATTAAAACTGAAGCATCTTCCAGCTTCACTGGGGCTTCTGAAATTCTTGTTCTGGACTTAAATTGAGGAGCTGTCATTTGGTTAGGTCATTGTTGGTTTTAAGCAATAATTCTGAATCTCTTTTCTGCCAGAAAACCCAAAAAGCAACCTCTTGGAGGAACTTAATGTATAAATACACCTCTGAACATCTACACTGTGAACTGGTACCTCTGTGAGGTACAGCAGCTCTTGAGGCTCTGGTGTTCCAGAGTCCCTAAATGGGCTCATGGCATGACAGGAAAGCAATTTGCAACTCTGCCTTCTGATGGATTTTGTTAAGTGGACTAAAAGCTTTCTGCTAAAGTGGTGCCTTGTCACTGCAAGGCAGTCACTCTGACCTTCTAGCTTGGCTTCAGGAGACCTGGGTGCAATCAGTCTTCTACAACAAAACTTGCTTCTCTTTTTTCTCTTGTCCCACTTCCCCCTTGCAAGGGGAGAATGCAGGTGTCCAGGGTCAAAAGAGAGCTGGCATGTGTATAAAGTGTTTCCACTAGTTCTGCTTGACCCAAAACCAGTTCAAATGGTGATGTGCTGGTTGCTGTCACTTATCAGTTCATAGAAATCATAGAGTCATTTCAGTTGGAAAAGACCTGTAAGATTGAGTCCAACCAGCCCCCAGCCCTGCCAGGTCCCCACTGCCCCGTGTCCCTCCCCCCACATCTCCACAGCTTGGAAGCCCCTCCAGGGGTGGGGACTCCACCACTGCCCTGGGCAGCCTGGCACAGCCCTGGGCAACCCTCCAGGGCAAGAAATTGTTCCTCAGGGACAACTGAAACCTCCCCTGGGGCAGCTTGAGGCTGTTTCCTCTTGTCCTGTCCCTTGTTCCTTGGGAGCAGAGCCCGACCCCCCCCTGGCTCCAGGCTCCTGTCAGGAGCTGTGCAGAGCCAGAAGGTCTCCCCTGAGCCTCCTTTGCTCCAGGCTCAGCACCCACAGCTCCCTCAGCTGCTCCGCCCCACACTTGGCCTCTAGACCCTTCCCCAGCAGCTCCGTTGCCCTTCTCTGGCCACACTCCAGCCCCTCAAGGTCTTTCTGGGAGGGAGGGCCCCAAACCTGACCCCAGGATTTGAGGTGCAGCCTCCCCAGTGCTGAGTCCAGGGGTCCAATCCCTGCCCTGCTCCTGCTGGCCACACCAGTGCTGACCCAGGCCAGGGTGATGGTGTGATTGGTGATGGATACACCAAACAATGGTGTGTTCAGAATCTTGGTAGCAGTTTCTGGATCACTGAAACTCATCTTCTGTGGAACTCTGTAATGTTGGAGGGCTTCTACAAATTTGATAGGCTCGTGTTGGGGGTGGGTTTGGGGTTTTTTGTTGGACCTCATCCCTAAGCACTGCGTGGCTTGTAAGAGGCTGTCTTCAGTTGCCTGGGTACCCCTTTAGGTAGCAAAGCTTGTTCCAGTTTAGTGCTGCAGGGTTTGCCCTCTGTTAGCTGCTCTTCTGCCTACCATAGTTTGTACACTCCTCACCTCTCCACATTAACAATCTCAGGGTTGGTCCTGGGGTGCTCACTGGTAGAGCCTCTCAAATCCCAGCTCCTTGCCCAGAGAGCCTGTGTGGAGCTCTAACAAAAGAGGAACATCTTCAACCTCAGCGAAGCCTGGCCAAGAGGAGCTCACTGGGTAGGTCTGTTTCTTTTCCAGAACCTGATCAATAAGATGTGGCTGGGGGTCCCATCTCAAGACAAAATGGAGATCAGGAGCTGCCTGCCCAAACTCCTCCTAGCTCAGCATAAAACTCTGCCTTACTTCATCAGGAACAAGCTCTGCAAAGTCATCGTGGACATCGGCCGACAAGACTGGCCCATGTTCTACCATGACTTTTTCACTAACATCTTGCAGGTAAGACCTTTCTAAAGGGAAAACTTGGTTCAATTCACAGAGAAATATTTTCTTTCCTTGAGTAGTGACTCCTCTCGATGAAGATGAATTAATGACATGAAAACCTAAGTGGCTTCTCAAATTCCTTTTTAATTGTTCAAATAACCTTTAGCTTCTTACATTTCTTTCTAGTATTACAAGTTTTTTAACAAAGGGTCAGTGCTATGCAACAAGTATCAACTGCACTTTGAATTTTAAATGTTTAGTAGCTGTTCAAAATGATGATGGAGTTGTGAGCTCTTTAAAGAAAAATGAGTAAAATTATGGATGCGTCACTGAGTGATTCTTGGAAGTGAAGTTTCTAAATGCTGCTCTTGGAGATTTTTCATCTAATAGCCAAAGATAGCCTAAAATCTTTGGTGCCTCATCATGTAAGGGCACTGATGGAATGTTGTTGAGGTCAGAGGGCTCTTGCAGGCAGACTGGAGTGTGTGTCTGAGGCTGAGACTGTCCCTGGTTTGAACGTTGGTTGTAACTCAGCATCTGCAGAGTGATGCCTGAGCCAGGCCAACTGAGCTGCCACTGGAGCTGAGCTGGGCTAGTGCAACCCTCCTGCTCTGGGTCCAGTGTTTGGTGTCCAGTTCTCTTTAAATTGTTCCTATTTAGGTTAAAGAAGGTGAGTGTTAACTGAAGTGCTGCAGGGTCTTCTTTCTGCTGACATCATTCCATCATTTGAATGCAGCTCTGCCCACAGACAAGGCACTTATTAAAACAAAATAAATAAATTAGAAATCCTGAGTGTCAGGAGTTGATTTAAGACAAATGGCTCTAGCATTAATTGCAAAATTTAAAAAAAAATATACTAACTTGGCACACAGAGCTGGTTCCTAACTGGTGTCATCTCTTCTCAGAGAGCTTTCAGTAACCATGCAGTGCAGTTTTTTTCCTGAGTGGTTAATTGGACCATAAGTACTCTGAGACAACTGCCTGCACTTATGGGTTGGGCTTTCATTTCACTTGGATCTGCAGCTGAATTTCTGAGCTTCTGCTTGGGTTGTTTTAGCACTTTGGAGGTTATCTTGAAGTGATTGCAGAGCCCACTTCAAGTGTCTGTTTTTCCTTCAGCCTCTTCTTGTGAACTCAGCTTCAGAAGGAAACGTTTCCATAAATTAATTTATATAGCAGACACTTTCCATAACTTCTCAGAGAAAGTGAGTGAAAAACACTTAACACTGAACTTCAAGACCTCAAAATAAAAGGAAGCACAGGGGCAGAATTACTGGTTTGTAGAGTTGCAAGTAAATCCTCTGAAGACTTTCTTCTAAGAATTTGAAACAATAGTTTGATTCTTCAGCATTAATTTGTATCCTAGTACCCTGAAGCAGTCTCTAAAACCTCTGCTGAAGCATTGGAGGTGTGGAGAAGAAAAGTAAATTGGGGTATTGTCATTATGCAAAACAATTTTACTTAGGAAGTGCTGCTTCAGAGGTATGAAATTCGTTTAACACTACTGAAGCTCATGATATTGCTTAAACTTCCTGGTCTTATCAGAAAACACTCTGAGAGGAGATGTTCAGTCTCTTTGCAGCTTACTAACACCTTGTGCCTTTAATTTAACTTTCTCTTTTAGCTGTTTGCTCCTCTGCCATCCTGCATCCTTTCTGGAAACCCTTGTACACCTGGACCAAGGGCTTTTAGATGGGCTCTTTCACCAAACTCTGTAGCCTTAACAGTGTTCACTCAGTGTGCCTCTGGTTTGGTAGGTCAAGGAGATTAGAACTGAGGTCAGCCTCAGAATCAGAATTTATGACTCCAAGGATTACTTGTGGTGGTGGCAGTTGGCTTTAGGCTTGTTCTCCCAGAGGGAGCAGCACATAAATTGTGGTGGATGTTCCAGGTCAACAGAGGAGAAGCAGCCTTGAGTTTCAGCTGAGAATCAAACTTTGTCCCACTTGAATGTGTCTTTAATACCCCCGTGGGTAATGAAAGCAAGCACTGCTGCTCTCTCTGCTCCTGTTCCTGTGGAGCTTTCCCTAGGGGCAGTCCCTCTTTTTGGGGTCAATGTGATTTCCAGTTGGAGGGGTGATAGAGACACGAGGAGAGGTCCTGTGCCTCAGGTGTGTTCCTGTGTCACCTGCTGCTGGCTGCAGCTCTTTGTAGGGGAAAGGATGGGCTTTATTCATGAGAAAGTGCTGAGCTGCTGGTGCAGGCTCCTGCCCTGAGCGTGGCTGCAGTGGGAGCCCTGTTTGTGGGGTGAAATCACTGGTGCTGAGGCAATTCGGAGAACTGATGATGTCAGCAGAAGGCAGCAAAGAGAAGGAACAAACTTACTGGTAAACAGGCTGGAGCAGAGAACGTGTGCAATGACATTATGAAAGCTCTCTTGAAATTCCTCTGGTGCTTCAACTGTTGCACCATCCCAGATCAATGTCTCAGGAAGCAGAGGATTTGCAATTCTCTCCCCTCGACCTGTGGGAACTGAGGCTCCCTCGCTCCCCGAGCCCTCGTCAAGTGCTAATCCTCTTCCTAACCCCCTGCTTGTCAGCTGATCCCTTTGCAGAGCCTTCTCCTCACCCAGTTGCATGCGTGTCTTTCCCTCTCAGTTAATTCAGTCTCCTGTGACCACTCCCCTGGGACTGATCATGTTGAAAACGACTTCAGAAGAGCTGGCGTGTCCGCGGGAGGATCTCAGCGTGGCCCGCAAGGAAGAGCTCCGTAAGCTGCTCCTAGACCAGGTGCAAACAGTGCTTGGGCTCCTCACAGGTACGAGCTGCTGCCCTCCCAGCCTCCAAACAAACACCCTCCTTTTCACCAGCCCTGAGATGGTGCAAGCTTGAGTGTTCTGAAGCAACCCCTGGGCCACGTAGTGGCTGCTCCTGCAGCTTGAACGCTCAGCTCTGTATAGAAACTCCAGAGTTTGGGTAGCAGAGGAGCTGTAGAGCTACATCTGCCCCTCTCTTTGTGAAGATTGTGTATATAAGCACTTGGGCTCACTAAGAGAAGACCATCTTCCTTGTTGAAGCACTGAAGATGTGTTCTCCCCAAGTTCTCTAGTGGTGTCCAGTGTATTTGTTAGGTTGATCTGACTTTTAGCAGGTTGTTCTGAACAGTGTCTCTTTGGCCAGGTATTTTGGAGAGCATCTGGGACAAGCACAGTGTTACTGCTGCCACTCCACCACCATCCCCAACTTCAGGAGAAAGTGGTAAGGATGGCTAAAGCTACAAGATGGTATTTCCCTGTACTTAAACTTGCAATATCAGGTATAGGTTCCTTCCCTTGCTGTCTAACCTCTTGAAATAACCCTTTCCTAGGGCTTTTCACAGGCCAACAAATTGCTGGTTGGAAAGACAAACCTTGTGGGAAGAAGCAATTCCCACTGCAGGGGATGCCCCCCTGAAAATGCCACCTCACTGAAAAATACACCCGTAGCTTCTTGTCCTCAGATGGCAGAAAGCTTTCTGAAGTGTCAGTGCAAAATGCTTTCATGTCAGTGTGTTGATATTATCCTCTGCTTTTCAGCTGTAAGCACATCAAAAGCCAGAGTGAGGCAAAGCTGGAGCCCTAACTACAAAAAAAAACCCCAAACAAACAAAACCAGGTGGCTAGAGTTTTGTGTATGTGTATTGTGAACATGGTTTTCTGCCTGTTAGTCTTTTGCATGGGTGTTTTATGTGATCTAAACTCATATATATGTCTAGTTCTTAGTTATTCTCAAAGTAGAGACTATATTTCTATGTCTTTCTTACTTGGCACACATTTCACTTACCCTGATAAGGCTAAATAGGGGGTGGATGTGTAGGGTCACCCCAGGCATGATTCTGATCTTGAAGTTCTACCAGTTTCTCCTGTGCCTTGAGGTTCCCTGGCTCGTTGTTAGGTTCAGCACTGTCCAACAGCTTCTGGTGCCTTTGCTCCTGCCTCTGGAAAAGAAAGGAAGAGGAAATACCATGATGCAGTGAAGTCATGTGTTGTCTGATCTTGGCTCTGCTTTTAACAAGGGGAAAAAAGAAGAGCCTAGGATCTGGAAACCTGTAATACCTGGTTGTGCACAGGGAGGAGATGAAACAGTTGTGGATCTGATATTGCTTTCTCCAGAGCTGTGCTCAGTGCAGTGTGTTCTGTGAGTTAACACAGTTGTACCAGGTACAACTCATCTTTGGGACTGTAAACAGTTAAGTGAGAGTCACAGATCACTTCCTTGTGGCCTTGCTTGCACTAGTCAGCTTAAGAAAGCTGCCTGTGATAAGCTTCTGTTTAACAATTTTGGTTAGAGTTAAAATCTTGTTGAGGTTTGAGCAGAATTTCAAGTGCTTCTTTCCTCTAGAAGAGCTTAAGACACTTCTAGGTTTGTATACAAAACAAACTGAAAAAGGAAGAAGTATTTCCTTGCTTTCAGGTTGAGGGATTTTGCTGGAGGTAGCAAAACTTTGGAGAGAAAAAAATATTAACAGAATAAAACATTGCAGTGTCCCTTGGCAAGAGTGATAATGCTTGGAGGGGGCAGGAGTGCCAGCTTCACCCAGCCTGGCAGCAGGAGCCTTGAGGTGCCATTGAGCAAGGTTGGAGTCTTCCATGGTAAAAAGTGTTAGTAGCAAGTGTCTTCATGGCCAAAAATGATGCTGTGTTTGTCCAGAGCAGCTTGAATGGCTCTGTGGGCACCCTGAGCAGCAGGTCCAGGAGTTATCTTAGGAAAAAAACTAACCCTGTTTTATTCTGAGGTGTCAATAACTTAAACTGATACAAAATGTGTATTTTAGGGGTTGTTTAGAGTTGTGATTTAAAACAAAATAACCTGTGGAACAGATTCTGGGCTGGTGGCCAGTGGAAGCCCTTTTGAGATGGCCTCACAGTTCCTCAGTGGATGGTTGGATGGTGCTTGTGCTGAGGCAGCTTTTCCTCCACCTGTGCCCTCACCTCGTGACTTTAGATCATGTTTCTCCAAGTGACAGTTTGCTGCATTTCTCTCCTGGGTCTTTCCTTTCTCCCCCTTCAGGGAAAACAAACCAGCTTCTTAACACAGCATGTTTTTGAGGGAATTGTGAGCATTTAAGGCTACACTGACAGTTCCTTCAGAAATTCAAGTTGAATTTCATTGGGTCCTGCCTGTGCAACCTCATTTATTTGAAACTCTTTGGGGTTATTTTTTGTGCTCTCCCTTAACTGCTCTCTCCATGTTAAAAATGGTGGTGCTCCAATTTCTGAAGTCCAAAAGGAGGGATTTTTCCCCCCCCCCCTTCTTTGTTTTATGAATCAAATGTCCCTTGGGTCACCATTTGGTGACAGGATCAGTCAAAAGCTCCACGGGGTGGAGTGAGAACCATGATGAGGCTGCTGCCATGGAAAACCTCGTGGCATCACCTATCTCCTGGTCTTTATCTGGAGGCATAAATGTATGGCTGGAAGGAGAACTCTGGGGCAAACACAGGTCTGGTGAAGCTCTGCCATTCAATTCTTCACTATGAAGTGTTTCTCTGCCCTTAGCATATGTGAAAGCTGGGAGCTGACCAAATCTTTTTATCCACCTCATGTTAAATGGATTTCATTGATGCAGCAAAGCATTTCTCCTTACTGGTGACACTTCAAACTTTCTTGCTGCTTAGGTGAGGCCACCACCTTGTTCTCTAGACATCCAGGTGGAAGGAAAGGTGTTCCAAAAGGCAAAACATGCTTCAGAGTCCCTTTCAATGCTTTCCTTCAGAGCCAAAAATCTCTTTAGGAACCTGGGAGACCTACACTTCCTTTTTTTTTTTGCACAGGGAAGCAGAGTGAAATGGTGACTTGCAAGTCTTGCCTGGATTTTAAATAGCACTCAAAGACAGTGTTAAACTCATTTCTCCTCCCACTGAAGCAAAGGAACTCTGGTTGTCTTCTGTGTTGGGAAACATTGGAGTTATTGCATCAGTGTAGAATTTACTCAGCAATAATCTCTAAATGTTGTCTTTATGTGATTTATGGCTTTTTTTTTTACTGGATTAATCCCTTCCTAAGGCATATTCACTCAGGTATGGTCAATAAATGAGTAACAGAAATGTTTGATGCTGCTTAGTTCTGCAGAGCTTGCCTGTTCCCAGCCCCTCCCTGAGGGTTCTCTCCTCGTGCTTGAATGCAGTTGGCCTGCAAATTTCTCACCTGTTGGCAAAAAACCCAAATACTTACTCAAAATCCCTTAAACTCTGAGCTTCCTTAGTGTACCTGGGTGCAAAATGCTCAGACAAGCTGCTGTGAGTCACAGGGATCTCATATATAAAACAACTCTTACAAGGTATGGCAGGGATTTATGGATTTAGTCATGTAGGACATTGATCTTGATGAAAAATGGAGACTTAAGAGGAATCTGTTCCTCATGTAAACTTTTGAGTGCTTTAGAAGTAGCTCAGTAAATCATACCTGTTGTTTTCCTTCTGCTACTGTGTTGGGTCATTTCATTTTCCAACAGAAATTACTCAGATTTTTCTGGGGACAGCTTTAAATTCTGTAACATAGCAAGTGCCTGTGGATTTCTAAAGGTGAGGAGACTGCAGCTGAGGAGGAGTCCAAAGAAGTCCTTAGCTGGGGAAGGGTCTAGAGCCCAAGTGTGGGGAGGAGCAGCTGAGGGAGCTGGGGGTGCTGAGCCTGGAGCAAAGGAGGCTCAGGGGAGACCTTCTGGCTCTGCACAGCTCCTGACAGGAGCCTGGAGCCAGGGGGGGGTCGGGCTCTGCTCCCTAGGAACAAGGGACAGGACAAGAGGAAACAGCCTCAAGTTGCCCCAGGGGAGGTTTCAGTTGTCCCTGAGGAACAATTTCTTGCCCTGGAGGGTTGCCCAGGGCTGTGCCAGGCTGCCCAGGGCAGTGGTGGAGTCCCCACCCCTGGAGGGGTTTCCAAGCCCTGGAGCTGGGGGGTGAGGGACACGGGGCAGTGGGGACCTGGCAGGGCTGGGGAATGGTTGGACTCCATGAGCTTCAAGGTCTCTTCCAACCCAAATGATTCTATGATTCTAGAAGAAGAGTTTTGATGAGTCTGGGGAAGGTCATTAGGTTTTTAGCATGTGGTGTGTGGAAGCCTGAGAGTCAGTGGGGCAGCTGGAGGTGTCTCCTTAGGTTTCCATAAAGCTTTCAAGAAAACTTCTCACTAAAAGCTTGGAACTACTGCTTGGGACTGTGTCCGTGGACATACACATGGAGACGTGGGAAAAGGGCTCAATAAAGAGACAAGGAGGCTTGGCAGTGCCACCTAGACAGTCAGAATGGGGAGAAAGGAGGTGTAACTGAAGACCAGCAGGGAGATCTTGCCCATCTTTGGGCAAATGGGAGGTGAAATGCAATGCAGAGAAGCATAACCTGTGTTTGGACAGGTAGAGCAATGCTCAGCTCATGCCAAACTGTGGGCTCCAAACCCACCTTCAGTATGCAGGAGGAACTTCTGAGCCTTGCACCAGATCACTCTACAAAAAATTACAGATTGGTAGCAGTAAAAAAAAGATCAGTGTCTGCTTTGGATTCATCTACACCTTGAAGAGTGGCTGCAGTTCTGATTTTCCTCTATCACCAGGGGAAGAGGAAAAATCAAAGGTTTGTAGAAAGGCAGTGAAGATGGCTGAGGGTGTTGAACTGCTTTGATGTCAGAGACAAGAGAAGCAGCACTCTTTCTTCTCTCAAAGGAAAGGAGAACGAGCAGCTGCAATAGAAACCTGTGGAGTGACAAGCAGAGGGGGAATGGATAGAGATTATTTCCTTTCCCTGTTTGGGTCAGGAGGAAGGAAATGAAACTCGCAGCTGATATGGCCCCAAAAAAAACATCTTGGCACTGTATAGCTAGCTGAGTTGTGGAACACTCTCACAGGATGTTGCAAGTACAAAGTTTCTGTGGCTTCAGTTGGAGACCAGGTAAAATCATGGAAGGGAAACCCTGAGGCTGTGCAGGATTCTTCAGACTCCCCCCCAGCTCCTGGAGGTTTTGTAATGGGGGTGGTTGGAGGCTGGGGAATGTGGTCTGTGCCTGCCATGGGCTTTGGCTTGCTGTAAAAAAAGGTACTGTACTAAGGAGGCTTTTTGGTCTGGCTTGGAACATCTGCTCTTGGATGAGCCACAAACTCTTGTACCAGCAGAAGCAGCTCTGCCAAGGTTCAGTGTAACATGGAAGTGCCAGAGAACTCCTGCAAGCTGACCTCAAAGATGCTCAACCTCGTGAGGGGACTGAATTTAACTATAAATTCCTAAAATACACCCCATGGCATTGCTGTTTTCCAAAACACTTGGCCAATAAGGTGAGGATGGTGTGAAGCTCCTGCTTAGACCTGATCAGCTGCTCTGATCTGAACAAAAACCATCAGGAAATTCCTGAATAGAAAAATTCCTAGTTCATCTCAGACAAATCTGTGACTCGCTGCATTCCAGAGGCTCTGATGGCTTTTTAACTTCTGTCTAGGGCTGGTGGTTGCCCCATTGGAAGGGAACTGCCCTGGTTTCTAACACAGATATCCACTTTGCCTCCTAGGTGACCTCTTAAGTAGCCTGTTACAGAGTCCCAGCGCGGCCAAATTATTGAACCAGCCAATCCCCCTCCTGGATACTGAAAGCGAATACGTCTGTTCCTTGGCACTGGAGTGCCTGGCACACCTCTTCAGCTGGATCCCTCTGTCTGCCAGCATCACCCCCTCCCTCCTCACCACCATCTTCCACTTTGCCCGTTTCGGCTGCGACACCCGCGCTCGGAAGATGTCTTCGGTCAACGGCAGCAGCCAGAACTCACTGCTGGGGCAGGAACGTGGCAGGCTTGGTGTCCTGGCCATGGCCTGCATCAACGAACTGATGTCTAAGAACTGTGTGCCTATGGAATTCGAGGAGTATTTGCTAAGGATGTTCCAGCAGACTTTCTACCTCCTGCAGAAGATTACCAAGGAGAACAACGCCCACACGGTGAAGAGCCGGCTGGAGGAACTGGATGAGAGGTAAGAGCCACCAAGCAGCTGTAGGAGCTGTGCATAGGGGCCTCTTGCTTTCTAAAGGAATGTCTTTTATTATTTTGTGGTCATGCATGGTGTGTCTAATCACCTTTTTTTCAGAGTACTGTGCTGGGGGAGACGGGCAGAGAGGTAGGTGCCCACAGGTAAGGTTCTGGTAAGGGGCTGAGTTTGCTGAGGGACCGTGGTGGCACAGGGTTGTGTTCTTTCCTGTCCTCTTCCTCCCCTTTCCCCCCCCTTGACTGCAGGTCTGAGGTGGCACAAGAGCTGAACCTGCCCTTCATTCAGTTGTAAGAGAAACCAGAAGAGGCTCAGTGAGGTAAAGGCATTGCAGTCTTCCCTTGCCTGGTCAGTATCTGCCTTCTCTGCTTAAACTCCAACGTACAAAGAGCGGCTAGATACTCTGTGAGTGACAGAAACTAGGAGTAGTTTCCTACCTTTCATCAAGACATGAGGATTTCTGATGGCTTTTTCTATCTTGGCTTTTTTAAACAACACCCAGAGACAGCTTGGGGTGACTCTGCAGCATCTCGGAGGCTGCGTTACCACTTTCCAGAGAGTTACAACCCCCTTTGCTGTCTAAAACAAGCTTGGCTCTTTGATTTTGGACATTCCTACTTGTAGGAGGGAGAGTGAGACTCCTCCTGCTGTTGTGTTGAGTGGTTGGAGCCACGTGGTGGGCAGGGTGCTGGCTGGATGCTGCCTCTCGTTGCAGGGCTGGCCAACAGGTTACAACTGTGCCCCTGGGCTCAGTTTCTTGCTACAGATACCTGATGGTGGAAATACCCTTCTGGTGCTGCTGTAGAAAATGTCTAGTCCCAGATGTGGCTTTTTGAGCTAGGAGGGGTTTGGTCCTTTGTGATATTTTTTTTGTTTGTGTTTTTTTTTAATATCCACTCAAGAGCAACATCCAATTCAGGAAGAAAACTGTGGGTCTGTTTGTAAAGATGATTTGCATGTTTCTTCTGTAAAATTCCTTTTTGCCAGGTCTTTCTGTATCTTGAGATACATCTCTAGCTTCAGGATGGTAAATCTAGAGGAATCTTGACTTCTGTTGAACAGTGAATTCTACTTGCTCATTTTTGGACTAACTTGCTCCGACTTCAGCATCACTCACTTCCTAAAAATAAGATGTGTAGAAGTCCTTTGCATACAAGACAGGTTCACAGGAGTTACCCTCTGGATTTCAGAAAAGCTCTCCTGGAAACCCACAGTTCCTTATTGAACTTGGTTCTTTCTTCCATGGAAAACATCAGCAAGCAGCTTTTGTTGGCAAAGCTGGGGGGGCTGTAGCTGTGTTGGCCTTCACAGAGATGGTGTTGCCCTGTTGGTACATTCTGCTGCTCAGATGTTATCCACAGACATTGCTGGTGTCTGGAATGAGGAGATCCTTCTCTATTCATTGCCAGAGTCTGAAATAAAGAAGCAACTAAGATGTTCTGGAGACCTGATCAATCTAGCTGGCTTCTGGAGGAGTGGAACTTTCTGGGCTGTGTCCTCTCAGTAGGAAAGGACACGAGGATTTTCCTTTTGTTTTTGTGCCCTTAAGTGACACTTTTAGGTCCAAACCTAAAGAATTTAGCATGTGAAAGTGGCATCTTGGCTTAGATTAAGAAAATCCTGAAGACATCTTGGCTTAGACTAACAAAATCCTGGAGAAGATTGGAGCTGAAGATGCAAACTTCACTAGGTTGCTGTTCTTAGAACCTGCTTGCCCTGGCTCTGTTCCTTCCCTTCCTCTAACAGTGCTGCTTGTTTTTGTTCTGTCACAACATCAGTGTGGCCTTGAAGAGCTGGTGCTGCCAAACTAGCCCAGAAAAAGAGTAACAACTGTCTTTTGGTCTGGTTCTGTTTGGCTTTGACTTGAAGATCCCAAAATATGGGAGATGGCTCTGAAGGATCCAAGCAATGGCTCAGTTGGGGGCTGGCAGAGCTAGAGACCAAGGAAGGATTTCACTGATCTTGGATCAGAGCCTCTTCAGAAAACAAAGATGAAAAGAATGAAGGAAATGTTTGGATCTGGAGTGGGTTTTTTTTTGCTAGCTTTGCTTTTGAAGGGTTTGATCTGTGATCAGGTATGTTTAGTGGTGACTTGTCAAGTAGACAGTACCAAATAAAAAGGAAACTTCATCTTTTTGCATATTCAAAGTCTTATGTGGGTTTTTTAGGCTCATAATAACCAACAGTGCTGCAGCTTTTTGTTAGCTGGAAGTATTCCTGGTCTTGAATTAGTTCTTATTAGAAAGAATGGGGTTCTCCCCTCAAAATGAGTTTGCAGAAAGGTAGAACAAGGCAGTGCAGTAAAACCAGGCTGGCCATGTGTGCCTGAAACTTTGCTAAGCCCAGCTTTTTATTTAGAAGAAAGATTTGAAGTCCTCTTGCACTTCAGAGCTCCTGCTGTATTGGATTCCTGGAGCTCTGGCTCTCTGTCTGTGACACTGATGGAATATTTAACTCTTTTCTGTATAGTTAGATCTGAAGATGATTTCTAACCTTGAAGAAACCAGTATTGGGCAGGATGTGTTCTTATTCCCCACTAAAACCTTACCCCACCATGCTCTCTGTAGTTTTTCCTCAACTATCCACTCAGGAACCCTCAGTGCTTGCAGAGAGGTCGTGCTCTTGCTGAACCCTCTGAGATTTTGGTGGTAGGCTTCTTGTTGGACCTTTGCTTTGCACAGCCCCAACCTGCTCAGGAGGGAGATGGGTCTTTATAATCTAACTCAGCCACAAAAGCCTGGGCTCAGTTCAGAAGCTGTTGGATAGTTGCTCTGCCCTGCAGATGAAATGGTCCTTTCCAGCTCTCCCCTCCGTGGCTCTCCTCCTCCCTGGTGTAAAGTTAACATGTGTGTTGCTAACTCCTGCATTAACTTCTTGCTTCCAGCTGAATTCCTCAGGGGTACAGTTGATTTCACTAATCCCATCTACATCCGTGAGGTGCTCCTCGTTACAAAAGGATTTCTCAAGGGTGGTAGGGGATTGTGCTTATTTGCAGGCCTGGTTGAACTCAGTTATATTTCTCTCTGAATCTGAAAGTTGCTTTTGACTAGATTGTCTTTTCTGCTGTTTCAGGTATTAATGGAATGAAGGGTTGCCCGTCCTGTAGGTAATTGTTGCAGGGCTTTATATTTTAATCCTTCTGCTGGCTGTGAATTGTAACTTTTCTTTTTAATGAAAGGATTTTGAGTGCGTTTTATCACTTATTTCACTGAAACTGCTTTCCCTGGAGGCCTCCTTCATGTTTTCTCAGTTGTTTTCTCCTTTCCCTTGTAGCTACATTGAGAAGTTCACGGATTTTCTCCGGCTCTTTGTGAGCGTCCACCTCCGAAGGATTGAATCCTACTCCCAGTTCCCCGTGGTTGAATTTCTGGCACTGTTGTTCAAATACACTTTTCATCAGGTACAGCCTTGTGACATCACTTCCCCTCAGTCTGTTCTCTGTTCTCTTCCCTTGTACAGCAGGGTGAGCCCGTTTCCAAGTGAAGCTGGTGAATTCAATTAGCCCAGGGTATAAAGAAAAAACAAACCCAATCAATTTGTCTTACTGATGCCTCCCTGTGGCTCTGGGGACTTGGAAATGGCTGAATGTGCTCTTGGAGTTAGCTGGAGACAGGGATCACGGGTAGTTACCTTACAAGAACAACTCCTAGTGGTGAACTTTGCTTCTGTTTGATTTCTTTTCATCGCCCTTGGAACAGATAATGTTGTCTGGAAAAATTTCTCGTGTTTTGGGGAGTTTTTCTCCTGAATCTGCTGCTTTTCCTGTCTCTGAGGATTTCCTTGCAACTTTGAGCATTAAAAAAAAAACACTCTGTGGTTTTGGTACGTGTTACCTTCCTGGAGAAACTGTCCCAATGCAGCTCAGCCCTGGTTACACTTACATGGGAATAATAACAAGGAACCAGGGTTATAAAACACTAGAAGCTGATGCAGCAAGCTGTGGGTTAATTGCCCCTTGTCCTGTCCCTGGGCACCACTGACCAGAGTCTGGCCCCAGCCTCTTGCCCCCTGGGGGCCCTTTAGCTCTTGCTCAGTATTGATCAGATCCTCTCTGAGGCTTCTCCAGCTGCACAGCCCCAGGGCTCTCAGCCTTTCCTCAGCATCTCCATAGCCTCTGCTGGACCCTCTCCAGTAGTTCCTTGTCCTTCTTGAACTGGGGAGCCCAGAACTGGATGGAATAGTCCCCAGGAGACTACTGGCCTCTTGGCCATAAGGGCCCATTGCTGGCTCATGGGGCAACTCATTGTCCATGAGGACACCCAGGTCCTCCAAAGAGCTGCAAAGCAGGTCAACCCTTCATCTGTACTGGTGCAGGGGGTTACTCCTCCCCAGGTGGAGGACTCTGTGCTTGCTTTTGTTGAACTTCATGAGGTTCCTCTCCACCCAACACTCACACTGGTCTGTCTCCCCCTCCTCCCCTTTTTGTATCGTCAGAAAACGTTTCCTCTCCACCCAACACTCACACTGGTTTGTCTCCCCCTCCTCTTTTTGTATCATCAGAAAACGTGCTGAGGGTCCCCTTCATCCAGGTCACTGATAAATGTTCTGAACAGGATTACACCCAAAATGTGAAATCATTCTTTCTGGAGCTTATACTCACTGTGAATTTTGGTGTATTTCAGCCTACCCATGAAGGTTACTTCTCTTGCTTAGTCGCTCTTCTTGGACTACCTGACGAGCAAGATCAAAAGCCGTCTGGCAGACAAAGAAGCAGTGCTCAACAGGTGAGAATTTGGGCTGTGAGAGGTGCAAAGAGTTTTCATGGTCACCCTGGAAGGGCTGAGGAATCCAGTGTTGCTTACTCCAGCTTCACTCGTGGTCGAGTCTTTTCTCTAACATCCATAAAAAGTGTAAACTTCAGGTTTTCACAGTAATTCGAAAGAATGGCATCTGGGCAAGTTAGGGCAGAAAACCTCTCACTGACATGGGCTGCTAGGTTCACACACAACCTGAGGAAGAAGGTTTTGCAGTCTAAAATAGAACTGTAACACAATTTAGTAAATATTAGAGCACCTATTAAAAGAGGAAACCACAGGGTAGGTCACTTAGTGTTCACGTGGCTCGTACAACTGATTAATGAATTAGGGGGAAAAAATGCCATAGGTAGGATTTTTAAATTCCTCTTTAAGTGGAGGATGTTTTTTTTCTGAGAAATACTGCTGAGATTGTTTGGAAGCTGAAAGCTCCACTTGCTTGCTTGTAGTTGCATGTGTTGGTTGCAACAGTGGTTGGCAGCTCTTCCTTTGTAGGTGCTGTGTCCTGAAATGGATGATTCTCTTTTTTTTTCCTCTAAAAGCCCCTTTTGCTGCCATTTTACAAATCTGGTGAATATACTGGTATCTCATTCAAGTTTTGGGGGCTTAAAAATGCCACAGCTTGTGCCATATTATATTTTGCTAAGCACAGGAGGAAGCTTCTTGCCCTGGAGCACACCAAGTAGTTGGGTTTTGAAAGATAAGCTGGCATCATAACCACAAAGAACAAATGTGGAACTAGCTCACAGCAGACAGCTGCCTTCCTTTCAGCATGGGAACAGTGGGGTTTTGAATTCCTCAGGTAGTAGGTGCTTGCTTTTGAGCTTGGGTTTAAACTTTGTTCCTTGTTTGCTGCCTAATGCTGTGGAGCTTTGCCTTGATGTTCTGCTCCTCTTCATCCAACGTGTGTGTAACGGGTGTGATCTTTGTGTCAGGGAGTTTGTTATGGAGAAAACTGAAACAAACCATCTCTGAGAGATCTGCCAGACTCTAAAACAAATCAAAAGTGCTTGAAGCTTGCACTGTTTTGTCAGAACTGCCTGTCTTTGGTGACAGCATTGACAGCTACAGCTTCCTGTGTGCCCTTAGGCACGTCAACACTGCACTTGGACAGCCTGGGAGTGGTTACACCACAGGAGCTCAGCTGAAGTTTCCTGTTCTGTGGTTTTTAAGCTTTGCATTTTGTACACATTACAACTTTTACTAGTGGATAGATGGTCTGATCCAGAATTAGGTCATCTGGGGATGGGATAATTCAGCCAGCTCACACAGAGAGCTGTCAACTGCTTAGCTAGTGGCACAGCCAACTAGGCTGACACCTCATGCTCTGTCTGTTATAGGCTAAGGGCCTCATTTTCCAGCCTGCTCCCACCTAGAAAAGAGCAAAACCTTTTGCATCAGACCCCAGCTGTTCAGAGAAAAGGGTTTAAAGCAATCGGAGCAAACCCCAAACTTGGGCTCTGTGTCACCAGGAGTGATTGTGTGCTCAGGTGGCTCTGTGCTGATTTTGCAGCTTGGTGTTGTTCTTAAATGATGGATGAGGAGGGTCTTCTGTGCTCTGTACCAGCTTCACAGCTCTGAGAGATTAAAAAATAGCTTCCAGTGATGTGCTTTTAGTCACAGTGCAAGCAGAAAAAGTGCTGGGTTTGTTTCAGAGGACAAGGGCCTGAATTCTTTGGCCAACAGTGTTGGGAAAGAGGACAGCAGAACAAATAGCTGGGGAGGCCCCTCTTGAGGCAGGCAGCAAGAGCTTTCACTGCCCAAAAAGCAGAGCACCAGGCAGGCTGCTGAGGAGCAGTGTAAGCAACAAGAGGCTCTTGGGCCTCCTGTTCGTGTACATCTGCTGTTATTCCTGGCAAGCCACTCCTACCTTTCCTGTTTTGAGCTCTTGGGCTGCTTCTGTTGCCAAGAGTTCTCCCTTTCCCTTCCAGAGGTAGAGGGATATCTGATGTTACCAAGGCTCTTGCCTTGCAGGTAGCTTGTGACCTGAAACAACACCATGCTCTTGATGGCAGGATCCCCTCGGTGTTTCCTCAACACATCTGGAGAGCTGTGCTGCACGCTCTCTGCAGCAGCCAGCTTCAAACCATCATCTGTTTTACATCCTTCCTGTGCTGGAAGGGGGCTGTGGGCACAACAACCTGTGCAGAACTGGCTGCTCAGAGCTGTCTTCTCCACGGTGACAGGTACGAAGACGCCTTGGTGCTGTTGCTGACAGAGGTGTTGAATCGAATCCAGTTCAGGTATAACCAGGCACAACTGGAGGAGCTGGACGACGAGACCCTGGATGATGATGTAAGGAGCAGAGTTGAACACAGGGGCAGCTGCAGGTCCACTCTTGCACTGGTAACAGCCAGGATGTCTTTCCCAGAGCTTGTAGTTTGGAGCACAAGCTGCTGCTTCGCTTTCGGGGGTTTGAGGTTTATGAAATTGAGGTTTCAGAATGAAATGCTTTTAACAAAATTATACTTAAAGTCACACTGAAAAAATATGACCTTTGTTTTGAACTTTGTTCTTGTGGGGGGAGAAAAATATAGCTGCTTATGCTCTGATTATCAGAGGCTCTGGGTGTTCATGGCTGCTTTGGAGTTTAAATGCTGAACTGTCTCTCTAGACAAAAGCTTTAAGCTGTACAAATTGTTGGTGCTTTCATCTGAGCTTATTTCTCCTAAGTTGGTGTTTTTAGAAACATGAGCTAAATATGGGTAAGTGTAGAAGGGGAGTAGGAAGTGCTGTGCTCACCTTGGTGTTCTCTTCCCATAGCAGCAGACCGAGTGGCAGCGGTACTTGCGCCAGAGCTTGGAGGTGGTTGCAAAAGTCATGGAGCTCTTGCCAACTCATGCCTTCTCCACGCTGGTAAGTGCTTACCCAGGCCCAAAGTATGATGTGAAGTGAGCACCAGCTGCTGGAGTTGGTTGCAAGATGTTTGGGGAGCTTTGTAGAATCATTGAGGTTGGAAAAGGACTCTGAGGTCATCAAGTCTATCTGATCAGTGCTGAGCAAGAGCTAAAGGGTGGGGAGCAAGAGGCTGGGGCCAGACTCTGGTCAGTGGTGCCCAGGGACAGGACAAGGGGCAACGGGCACCAACTGGAACCCAGGAGGTGCCACCTGAGCAGGAGGAGAAACTTCTTTGGGGTGAGGGTGCAGAGCCTGGAGCAGCTGCCCAGAGAGGCTGTGGAGTCTCCTGCTCTGGAGAGATCCCAAACCCTCCTGGCTGTGACCCTGGGCACCCTGCTGTGGGTGAGCTGCTGGAGCAGGGGGGTTGGATGAGGTCATCTCCAGAGGTCCCTTCTGACCCCACCATGCTGAGATTCTGTGACAAAGGCTACAGCATCAAAAAAGTAGGGACATTTCTTGTTGGATGCAGAACCTTGGCACGGAGAGACCAGAAACTGAAGGAAAAAGCTGCTTTTTTTTGGCTTTGTCAAATTTCTTGGTGAGTTTTGAAGAGAACACTTCAGCGAGCATCCGAGTCCTCCTTGCTGGGCACTAAGCTCTTTAGAAATCCCTGTCTTTCAAAGTGTGAATGTTTGGCAGCAATCCTTCTCTGTTCTGTATCGTGGCATTGATATTGGGAGGCAGCACTGTGAATTGGGCAGAGAGAGTGTCATAATTAGGGTTTTAAGGAGAGTGAAATCCTTGTTTAAGTGAAAGGCTCGATACAGATGCTGAAGAGAGTGCCTTGGGCAGTTGGGAATTACATCTGATAAACAGAGAAGTGCTTCTCTCCACCAGAATCAATGGTGTCAAACATTACCTGGGCTTGTAGCACTATAACAGTTCCTGAGGAGGAGATTTTGAGGCTGTAAGCCCAAACTTCAGGGTAGTCAGTGGCTTTTTTGCTGGGTGAGAAGACACAAGCAGTAGCAGTGGGATCTCAAAGCAAGTCTGTCAATATTTATTCTGGAGGTGCTGCTGACTTAGACCTCTGACCTTTCTTCCTGAGAAGCAGAGAACACTGAGGTGCTGCAGAGGCAGAAGATGCTTGAGCTGAAGTGCCTTTTTTTTTTTTTAATTGTTTATTAAATAAAAAATAACATTCTGGCTGAGCCAAGTGCTTGAAATGCATGACTAGAAACTCTGAAGTAGTGCCCAAATAGTCTTCAGCCAAAAGTAGAAGCTGCTGTGCAGTGTGTTGACCTGAGTCAGCAAGAGGCAAACGTGGAGCAGCTGTTTGAGTGAGCCCAGGGGTCACAGGGTGAAGAGCTTGTGGCTTCCTCCAAGTCACACACTAACAGGAGGAAGACTATCTGTTGGGTTTTTTAAAGAGTTCTCCTCCTGCAGTTACACAAAGGCACTTGACTGTTGGGCACAATGTGTTAGAAATTGGATAGCAAGTGCTGTCTTGAGCCCTGCCTTAGTTCACTCCTTGGGTACTGGGTAGTCTGGGAGATGCTCAAACAGTTTCTGTGCTTTCCAGGGTACTCTGCAGTGCTCTTGATAGTGGTGGCTTCTCTATCAAGAGCAAATAGTTCAAAACCAACATGCAGCAGCTGCTGTGACTCTGTCCCAGGCTGGATGGGGAAGAGCTGCAGCTCCTTCTGCTCGTGGATGAGTGAACTGTGATCAAACCAACCCCTTCAAACCTAGTGGCTTTTGTCCATGGAAATTAAGCAGAGCTATGCCAGACTGGAAGGGTTGGAAAATACTCTTTCTACCAGGAGGAGGTCACTGTCTCACTTTGTCCTGTGTGTACAGAAGCACAAATCATCTCTTCCCACAGCTCACTGAAGTTGCTGTCAAGCCATGAGAAGCTGTGGTGTGGAGGATCAGCCCAGAACCTGGCAACTGGCCTGTTCTCCAGATGGCTTCCTGAAGGCACTAGGGGCTTTAACCAAGTAATTAGTAGCTGGGTGTTAACTGTCTGCCAAGCCCCAAAATCACACTCCTTTCTTGTCTCTTCTAGTTTCCAGTTCTGCAGGATAACTTGGAAGTGTATCTGGGACTCCAGCAGTTTGTGGTCACTTCAGGGACAGGTAATAACCATCATCCAGCACTGTGGTCCTGGCTCTTGGAATAGCTGATGGCAAAACCACTCTAGACCTGCTTTGGTGTTGCTGCTTCTGTATTCTCTTGATCTGAAGACATCTGCAGTGCCTGATGGCTCAGGAGTTAAACTCCAGGAGCAGACAAACATCTCCTACTGTGATTTATTTCTTATTGACGTGCTGCTTCCATTGTTTTGGGACTTGAAATGAAGGTGCCACGGGTGTTAAGAACAGGTATGCAGCAAATCAAATGCCCCAGGGACATGGATGGATAGTGGTTACTTTTTTTTCCTCCCACTAAAACTCATTTCCAAAAAGATTGAGCTCCTCTTTGCTTTGGGCTCAAAGCTGGAGTGAAGTTGTCCACCACAGGAGCATTTGTATTCAGGCTTGCATTAAAACCATTGTGAGTTGAGAAGAAGATTGAGTATTTAGGATATAACAGTAGTTTGTGAAGACTTATCTAGCCTCTCAGCTGAATAAAAAGCATGAGTGTAGCTTTGTTGCTCCTTCCTGAGAAACAAGAAAAGTAGCAGCAGTGATATCTGTGTGAGGGAAGCTTGTTGTTAAGATATTTGAAGTTTTCTAGTATGACCAGTAAAGAAATCTGGTGAATCTCCAGGATAGCTGCATGTGGCAGAACAACCATTGTTGTTCATTCAGGAAAAAATCCTTCCCATTTTAGGGTCCTTTCAGACCAGATTTTTCTTTGCAATAGTGCTGCAGAATGTGTTTGGGTTTTTAGTAAAAGGTCTGGGCAGCCCAGGGGTAGGATGAGTGTGGAGTTTAAGGCTGGCAGAGCTGTTTATCAGCATGTTTCTTATGTCTGAGGAATATGAAAGTAAATAACCACACTTTGCATCAGAAGCAGACCCACTCTGGTTCCAAATTTCTGCAGCTGGAACTCTCTGTGCTCTAGCCAGCAGAGGGAGTCCGGGTAGGGACCTTCCCCACAGAGCTGGGATTGCCTTTTGGTGTCAGTGGGTCACCAAAATGACTGGTTTAGATAGGTATTAGTACCAAAAAAAGAGGAAAAGAAATGTGTAAAAGGCTAAAACAGTTGGGAACATCCATTTTAGCCTTTAAAGAGGAACATGAAGCCTGACAGTTGGAAGAGTTGAGCTTGTCTTACCCAGTTTGAATGTTTCAGTCACTTGGACAGTGCTTTGCTTTGACCTGTGACCCACTGCTGAGCTAATTTAAGAAGAATGCTTGTAATGTAATTAGAATAAACTCAACATTTCCTGTAGCTCTGTCATTAGGTTTCCCATCCCAAAAAGCTGCGTTTACTACCCGCAAGGTTCCACGGGGTTTCTTACAAGAGGTTCTTCAAGCCTTGGGTGTTCAGAGTGGCAAGATCTCAGTCAGAATCTATTAAACAGAAGTGGATGTTGACACTGGGATGTTTTGGGCTTCCTTGGTGACAGGCCACGGTGTCATTCCAGGTCACAGGCTGAACATCACTGCTGAGAACGACTGCCGGCGCCTGCACTGCTCCCTGAGGGACCTGAGCTCCCTCCTGCAGGCCGTGGGTCGCCTGGCAGAGTACTTCACTGGGGATGTCTTTGCTGCCAGGTTCAACGACGCCCTCACCGTGGTGGAGAGGTAGGTGGGGCAGGGGCAGCTGGCCAGGGCAAGGAGCAGTTGTCACCAGGTCAAAAGCAAGGTTTCCTCTTCTCCCCGAGAACTCAACGGCCAGGGCCGTAATTCAGGTCTCATCATTAAGGTTGGAAAAGGCCTCTGAGGTCATAGAATCAGAGAATTGTCAGGGTTGGAAGGCACCTGAAAGGTCATCTAGTTCCAACCCTCCTGTCCTAGGCAGGGACATCTCCCACTAAATCAGGTTGCTCAGAGCTCCATCCAGCCTGGGATGGGCCTCCTACCACCTCTCTGGGCAACCTGTTCCAGTGTCTCACCACCCTCATGGTGAAGAACAACTTCCTAATGTCTAATCTGTATCTCCCTACTTCTAGTTTTGCTCCATTCCCCCTCGTCCTATCACTACCCAACATCCTAAAAGGTCCCTCACCCAACACTCCCACGACCACTAAACCATGTCCCCAAGTGCCACATCCATCCATTCTTTGACCCCCTCTAGGGATGGTGACTCCCTGGGCAGCCTGTTCCAATGCTTCACCAATAGTTACATCCATCAGGGCTGTTTTCTCCAGTTGGCTTTCTGAATCCTTAACCAAAGAAAGAACTAATAGGAGGGTTTGAAGAAAATCAGGCACGTGACAAGATCAAGGTACTTGGTTCCTTGTTTTCCAGCATCTGCCTTTGTGCTGCAATGAGATGAGGTGTAGAGTTTGATTACTTCAGAGTTACATCTCTCCAAACTAAATCACTAATATCTCTTTAATGAAAAGACCTGTGAAAACTGAAAGGCAGATGTCATTCAGTTCTCCCCCTCCAAGAAATTTAATTAGCACATGGTTGCAAATGGCAGCATTTCAGGGCTTTACACAGCTGCCTGGGGTATGGTTTTTCATCTCCATGCAGGAACATTGTTCTTGTTCCCTCTTATCACAAACAGTCTGAATTATTTTCAATGAGATGTTCTCAATCTTGTCTGTTTGAGCTAAATCTTGACCCTGACACGTGGAGAGCCTCGTTCAGATGAGGTGTTTGAGGAGATTTGTAGCTCTGTGTGTGTGTACAACTACCCACCAACCTCTGTGTGTTCCCTTCCAGGCTGGTCAAAGTGACTCTGTATGGATCCCAGATCAAACTGTACAACATTGAGACTGCAGTGCCATCTGTCCTGAAACCTGACCTGATTGATGTGTGAGTATGAGAGGGACACACTGCACGTGGATGTGTTCAGAGCTGGTGCCCACGTGGGGTCAGGAAACCTTGGATCTCCTCAGCCTGCTGCTCTAACCACTTGGCAGTGTTCTGAAAAGGTTCAGTGATGGCAAGCTGAACACGAGGGCACCTTCAAACTGTTGAAGGTCAAGGCTGCTGCCAGCCTTTCAGAGCATTCTTTCCTCAAATTTATATACCCAGGTTAAAGAAAAAGAGATCTGTGGAGTAAAAATGTCCATTATCTCAGCTCTTATTCTGGCTGTAAAAGCCTCATTCTTCTGCAGCATGATTAAAGCAGAAGTGTTACAACAGTGGTGTTAAGAAATGGATCCACTGCCTGGACATGGCTTCAGTTTATGGGTTATTTTCTACCTAAGTCAGATCCATGGCTCAGGTGAAAGATGCTTTTCCTTGGCTTCCCAGACAAACATTTGCCTTGCAGCTCTGCAGGCCATTTCTGGAACAGATGAATGCCTTCAATCCAGAAGCTGACATTAAGTGTGACATCTTGCTGCTGCTAGTGATAGGACATCCCTCTGACAGCCTTCAGAGACCTTCTCCTCCTAAGACTGTGGAGGACAAACCTGTTTCCTGCCAGCTGGTGTTTCCTGAGCAGAATTTGAGGCTGTCCTTTGGAACATGTCAAATGCTTCTTCTAGTTGGCAGTGGCATGTGTGGCAGGTCCTTGGAAAGCCCTGCTGGGTTTCATTGGATAGTTCCCTGCATTTCTCCTCATCATCCCAAATTCTGTGCAGATGATGTTCTTTCACTGGTCTCTCTTTGTTTCTGGTGTAAAATGATTTGGGAGGGTTTTATCCATGACCTGTTGGGGATTTTCAGCCTTTTCTTTGTCAAGTGTCCCTGGAAAAAAAACCCACCCTCTGATCCATTTTCAGATGCTAGCCTAGCAGAGCTACATTGCCAAACATTTGGAGGACACCTACCTGTGTGGTCTCCAAGAGATGCCCTGACTCAAAAAATCCTTAATATTAATCATTTAATATTAATAATAATCCTGTGCCAAAATTATAAACTATGGTTATAGTCAACCTACCAGTTGTGATTTGACCTTCCCAATTTATACCTTGGGCTTAATACTGTTGCTCAGTGGGTGAGTTTGGTTATAACACACCTTGAAATAGGCCTTCAATGTACAAGGTCCAGGCCAAAAAAACCCCAAATATCAGTAAATTGTTCAGGCAGCTTCTCCTGAGGATTAGCAACGTTCTTCCTTGGCACGCCGTGGAAATAGCACCACACTCAGGGCTTGTGCCCTTCTGCAGCCCCCCTGCTCGTGTGCCACGTGTCCCCTGTGTGTGTCCCTTAACCCTGGCTCTGTCCTGTGTCCCTCCCCAGCCATGCCCAGTCCCTGGCAGCTCTCCAGGCCTACTCCCACTGGCTCGCCCAGTTCTACAGCGAGGTTCACCGCCAGAACCCGGAGCAGTTCATCTCCCTCGTCTCCACAGCTCTGGAGGCTATCACACCCCTCATCAGCTCCAAGGTATCTACATCAGCCTTCCACCCAGAGCTGGAGGTCCTCGGGTTGTGGGGCTCTTGTGGTCTGTGGTCAGTCTGGCAGCTGGAGGGCTGTCTTCCAAGCAAACATCTCGTGAAGGTTGAGACCCAGAGCAGTTCTAGGCAGCACTGTTGGTCAAGCTAAGAGAGTAAGCAACTTGCAGGCAGAGGGTCATGGTTAGGGCTGGGTGACCACTAGATAAATGACAGATGCTCTCTACTAACCCCTCACCCTTCCCAAAGAGCAGGGGGTTAAGGGAGAAAGACTTACGGGTTGGAAAAGAAAACGAAAAGTGCTTCAATGAAAGCAAACAATAAAATGAAATATATACAAATATGTCCAAAACCAATATTGAGCCCAACCCCCTGAGGGCAAGGACGTCACTGTCACCCCTGGTGCTGTGGAGCAGGCACTGGGGAAGTTCCAGGCTGGACTCAGCAGCAGATGGGAACTGGATTCAGGAACATGTGGATCAGGATCCAAGGCAGGATGGATGGAGTCCTCCTCGGACACCAGCCTTTGCAGAAGAGGTTTGAGCCTCCTGATCCCTCAGCTTTTATACTGCAGATGATGTTGATGGGATGGAATCCCTCCTTGCTCAGTTGAGGGTCACCTCCCTGTGGGTGCCACCTTTTTACTGGTGACCTCTTCACTTGGAGCACTCCAGCGTGGTACTCGAGGTGTAGCAGTGACCTTGATCTCTGCAGGAGCAAGCAGAAGCCTTTCTGCACCCCAATCCCTAGTAGTAACTCTAAACATGGAGTTTTATTGCTACTAGCAGCAGAGGGTGTCTGCAAAAATACACCATTAACTCCAGAAAGTGCAGTTACTTAGAGACTGGCTGAAAACTCAAGTCACTGGACAGAATTGCTTCTGTTCTAACTCAAACCAAGACACACAAACTCAGCTTAATGATTTTATGGCTTGGAAGCAGGGAAATCTCCCTTCCATAATATGAAGAGAGCTGACCTGTGCTCTGGTTGGCAAATCACAGAGTGGAGGGGTCAGAAGGGACCTCTGGAGATCATCTCCTCCAACCCCCCTGCTCCAGCAGCTCACCCACAGCAGGGTGCCCAGGGTCACAGCCAGGAGGGTTTGGGATCTCTCCAGAGCAGGAGACTCCACAGCCTCTCTGGGCAGCTGCTCCAGGCTCTGCACCCTCACCCCAAAGAAGTTTCTCCTCCTGCTCAGGTGGCACCTCCTGGGTTCCAGTTGGTGCCCATTGCCCCTTGTCCTGTCACTGGGCACCACTGAGCAGAGTCTGGCCCCAGCCTCTTGCCCCCCGGGGCCCTTTAGCTCTTGGTCAGCGCTGCTCAGATCCCCTCTGAGGCTTCTCCAGCTGCACAGCCCCAGGGCTCTCAGCCTGTCCTGGCACAGAGATGCTCCAGCCCCTCAGCATAATAAGTACTCTAAAGTGTCTTGCATGCAAATCCCTGGTGCTGGCAGCTCCCTGTGCTGCCCAGTCCCAGCGTGGGTCTGGGTGGTGGTGTTACTGGGCAGCTTGACCCCTCAGCTTCTCTTCCAGGTGCAGGAGAAGCTGCTGCTGTCTGCATGTCACCTGCTGGTCTCCTTGGCCACCACGGTGCGCCCCGTGTTCCTCATCAGCATCCCAGCAGTGCAGAAGGTCTTCAACAGGATCACTGACACCTCTGCCCAGCGCCTCCCCGACAAGGTGATCTGTCTGAAGGGTGGAGATTTAGGGCTCCTGGGGAAGCTGGGGCTCAGGTCTTGCAAGGTAGAACCTCAGGAACAAAAAGGTAGGGGATGGGGAGAGCAGTTGCCTCTGCCCTGTGGATATCCAGGAATCACAACAATCCTGTTGTCAGCACTGATCCACTTCCAGCCACAGTGTGAGGGTTAAAAACACATTGCAGCTCTTGGATCTTAGTCCTTTCTCACTTGCTGACACAGTCCCTGCTTCTGCCTCATCTTTACAGTGCAGGCACCTCGATTGTGACCTGCAGAAAGTGGTTTCTGTGGAACTTGGGTGAGCATTCCACATGTTAATGGCACAGAAGTACTGCAGAGCACTGGGGGAGACTGGGATGTGGTGGTATCCTGTGGTAGAGTGGAGGCATCAGGTGCTGTGGGAGCAGAGAAGTCTGTTTACTCCTGAAAGGGAGCAATAAAAGTGGCATCATCTTTGGTTTATCAGTCTGAAGAGCAGAGTCACTATTGCAGGGAGAGGCTGACAGAGCTGGGAGCTGCTTCCACCCTTTGAATCATGGACCTTTGCTTCTCTGCCACCTTGCAGAGCTGCTGGTTTTCACTTGGGCTCACCTGCTCTCAAGCTCAGCAGCAAACAGCACTGCTGGCTTGGAAAATGCCACTTCCCTCTCCAATGCCACTTCAGGGCTGCTCTGCAGCAAAACTGCAACTGCAAACCAAGTCAAACCATCCTCATCCTCCTCTCTTTGTCTGCTTGCTTCTAGGCCCAGGTGCTGGTGTGCAGAGCCTTGTCCAACGTGTTGTTGCTGCCTTGGCCAAACCTTCCAGAGAGTGAGCAGCAGTGGGCAGTTCGTTCCACCAACCATGCCAGCCTCATCTCTGCCCTCACCAGGGAGTACCGCCAGCTAAAATCCAGCCCCAGCCTGCCCCACAGGAAGGTGCAGCTGGAGGACAGTGAGTACCCAGCTTCAATGTGTGCTGTCCTCTGACAGCTAGGCTGCAAGCTGCTGAGGGGTGTCGTTGAGCTCTTTGTTTTGGCTGAAAAACTTCATGCTTGGTGAGGAGAGGGGGATTCGTGGGTGGGTTTCTTCTTTTTAGAGAGCCTTGTGTTTGGGGGGGGGGGTGTGTGTGTGAAGATTTTTCAGGTTGCCTGTCAACTTTTTCATCATCCAAGTATCAAATTGGGGGATCCAGTTAGTGAGGAAAGTGGGATTGCATTAGGAATACTGAGCAGCCTGGTGCTGGGACAATAGAGTGTTAGAAATCTTGGCTGGAGGCAGTGTTAGTGAAGATTATGGTTATAAAAACTTGAATGAAGGTTATGGTGGTAAAAAGGGGGGAAATAAGAATTTTTTCCAGCTCTGGGAACTATCCTAGAGGGTTTATATGTGGAGGAGGAGAGCCCTGAACTGATGTGGAACCTGTGGAAGTTTCTGTGTATATTTTTGGTGTGTTTTTTTGGGGGGGTTGGGTTGGGCTCCCCTCAGCCTCTGCACCTCAGTGGTTGAGCAGCGGGTGCATCTGTAGGGCAGTAAACCTGGGTCATTTCAGCAAACAGGGGACAGGGACCTAATTGAACATCTTCAAATGTTTAAAACATGAACACACACACACATATTTGACAACTTTCTTGACTCCAACCCATTTAAAACATGAACACACACTTGAGAACATTCTTGACTCCAACCCGGGTTTGGTGGATGCGCTGCCTCGTAGGTTTAGTTCCTCTGTGTGTGAACATCTCTTTGTTTCTTGCCTCTGGAGGAGTTTTGACCCTTTGCAGGAGGTCTCACCTCTCTTATTTTGCAGCCAAAGTGATCATCCATCAGACTCTGAGCGTTTTGGAAGATATTGTAGAAAGCATCTCTGGAGAATCCACCAAGTCTCGGCAGATCTGTTATCAGTCGCTGCAAGAATCCGTGCAGGTCTCACTAGCCCTCTTCCCAGCTTTCATTCATCAGTCAGGTATAACCATAGGCCAGGTTTTCATGCTGTGAGTAGCTTTATGACCTCCTGAGATACACCCAAAACCCCTCAGCCTCCAGTGGTGCTGGTGATGTGGAGCTTGTGTGTGTGGCTAGGTGTGGTGTGGGAGTCTGGGCTCCATCAGAGCAGGGAGGGGAGGTCCCTGCCATCCAGGGAGGGGATGGCATGAGGCTTTCTCATGCTTGCAGAAGGTGGAGGTGCCCTGGGATGTGTTCAGCAGTGAAACAAAACAGAGCTGATCCTCAGCACATTAAAAAAAAAGCTTAAAAATACCTTTGCTGGCTGTGTCTGCCACTCATTCTCTCCAGAAGCTTGAAGATAAAGAGGAGATCTCAACAGAGTTAGGCCAAACAATGTGGTTTCTTTTCCTCTGGGTAAAGGAAAGGCTGCTGAGATGTAACCAGGAGTGTTGCTTGGCAATCTTCTGGCCAGCAGCTTCATTTGGTATCAGATCAGGGTAGCCCATGGCTGCAGCAGCCTCTCTTGTGAAGAGTGAGGCCTTCCAGGGTAACTTTGGGAGCTAGGTGGGATTTTTCTCAGCAAAGCAGGTATGGGAGAAGCAAAACCAAGCTGAAATCAGAGAGGATCCAAGACCTCCAGTCACTGCTGTGACTCCAGTGAGCTGCTGTCTTCAAAAGGGGCCAGCAGCCTTCTGCAGGTGCTGTTGCTTGGCTAGAAAAGGCTGCACTGAAGGAGGAGCTGAGCAGCTTCTGCTTCCCGTGGTCACTCAGTAAAAGGTGTTGGGGCTGATGAAGAATTGGCTGTGGTGCTGCTCAGCTGACCCCACAGCCCCGTGCTGGAGGTGACTTCTGAAGTCAGAAGGCTCTTTTCAGTTCCTGCCAAAGAAAAGAAGCTGGATCCTGTCTCCCAGCCACCCTGGGCTGTGTAGTTGTTTGGGGTTTTCTTCTGTTTCCTGTTAACCCTGTAGGAGCAGTGAGGAGGTGGAGATGGGCCCAGACCATCAGCCAAGCTTTCTCCAGGAGCCCTGGGTGGGCAGCCCAGACTGGGGGCTGTGCTGCTGGTGTCCTCTTTGTTCTGAGCTGCTTGGTGCTGCCAGCCCTCATCCCTGGGGGGCTTCAGAAATTGGATGAACAACCTTTAAGCCCTGTAGTACCAACTGTTGCTTTCAGTTTCTGATGGCTGCTGAATTTCCAGGAGTAAAGGGGGTTCCCTGGGCAGGAGGAGCAAATACACTTTTTATGTGGCATTGATTCACTTGAGCATAATTTAACCCACTCTTTTTGCTTTCCTGTTCACCTTAGATGTGACAGATGAGATGCTGAGCTTCTTCCTCACTCTGTTCCAAGGCCTGAGGGTGCAGATGGGAGTGCCTTTCACTGAGCAGATCATACAGACCTTCCTAAACATGTTCACCAGGTATTGTCCCACGTTGGTTGCTTCTTTCTTACCCCTCAAGAGGACATCAGTCTGCAGTCAAAATCTGGCTCTTTTTTGTGGCTTGGTGCACTTGGCCTGTGTTAACTGAGGACATTTAGAGGCCCTGAGCACTTTCCTCTACACCAGGACACTCTCTGACTCTCTTTATCCTAGGGAACAGCTGGCTGAGAGCATCCTCCACGAGGGCAGCACGGGCTGTCGAGTGGTGGAGAAGTTTCTGAAGATACTTCAGGTGGTGGTACAAGAGCCAGGCCAAGTCTTCAAGCCTTTTCTGCCCAGTGTCATCTCCCTGTGCATGGAGCAGGTCTACCCCATCATTGCTGAGGTAGGGCTGCCCTCACACGAGGGCAAGGAGGGAAGGGGGAGGTGGGGAGGGAGTGCTGGGGGGTGGGAGCAGTGAAGCTCTCTTTGCTTTCCAAGAGCTGTAGGTGGCAGTCCCTGTGCAGGGCAAACTGGGGGACTGGTCAGTGGGCACTGGGAGGAACGTGGGTGGAGGATTTTGTCAGGAGAGGCTGGAATTAGATGTGCTCAAAGCAGGAGGTGAGACTCAAAACTCACTGGGGTGTTGTTAGCCTGACCCAAGAGCTGCTGGGTTTGGTGCCTTCCTCAGGAGGAAATGCTTTGATGCTCTGGTGCTGTGGCTACTAAGTGCTGCCCTGGTGGCCAGCAGACAGGCTGCTGCTGGCAGAGGGGTTGCAGCCCAGGAGCCTGCTGTGAGCTGCTTGTTCCCCTTGCCTCCTAGCGCTCGTCTCCTGATGTGAAGGCAGAGTTGTTTGAGCTGCTTTTTCGGGTCCTCCACCATAACTGGAGGTACTTCTTCAAGTCCAGTGTGCTGGCCAGTGTCCAAAGAGGAGTAGCAGAAGAGCAGATGGAGAATGAAGCACAGTTCAGTGCCATTATGCAGGTAACTCAGCTGGCCCCACAGCTGCCCAGAACCCTCTCTGCCAGGGAGCATTCCCTGCTGCTGTGCATGGAACAGAGGGATGTTCCAGGGGTGTTTGTCTTTCCATGCTTCATCCCCTGTGAGTTCTAACCCTCTGCGCCCCAGTGAGCCCACCTCTGGAGTCCTGTGTTCAGTGCTGGGCTCCCCAGTTCAAGAGAGACAAGGAGCTACTGGAGAGAGACCAGCAGAGGCTACAGAGATGCTGAGGGGCTGGAGCATCTCTGTGCCAGGACAGGCTGAGAGCCCTGGGGCTGTGCAGCTGGAGAAGAGAAGTCTCAGAGGGGATCTGAGCAGTGCTGAGCAAGAGCTAAAGGGCCCCGGGGGGCAAGAGGCTGGGGCCAGACTCTGCTCAGTGGTGCCCAGGGACAGGACAAGGGGCAACGGGCACCAACTGGAACCCAGGAGGTGCCACCTGAGCAGCAGGAGAAACTTCTTTGGGGTGAGGGTGCAGAGCCTGGAGCAGCTGCCCAGAGAGGCTGTGGAGTCTCCTGCTCTGGAGAGATCCCAAACCCAGTGAGCTGCTGGAGCAGAGGGCTGGATGAGATGATCCCCAGAGGTCCCTTCCAACCCCTCCACCATGCTGGGACTCTGTGATCAGTCCCCCTCCTTCAGTTCTGCTTTGTTTGCAGGCTTTTGGCCAGTCCTTCCTGCAGCCTGACATTCACCTGTTCAAGCAGAATCTCTTCTACTTGGAGACACTGAACACCAAGCAGAAGCTCTACCATAAGGTGGGTCCTGATTGACCAGTCTACACCCTCTGCATTCACTCCTAAGCTGAGTTTATTATCAGCTTTAAAGTTATTGTAGCTGCTTGTGAGCTTGGCTTGGAAAACCATCTCTGTGCTCACAAGAGCTGGCAGAGCCTGCTGCAAACTCAGCCTCAGAAGCTGCTGCTGGTGTTGTGCCATGCCTGGTGTGACCTGGATGGCTTGAACTCCACCCCTGTGCCTCTCTCCATGCAGAAGATCTTCAGGACCACCATGCTCTTCCAGTTTGTCAACGTGCTGCTTCAGGTGCTGGTCCACAAGTCGCACGACCTGTTGCAGGAGGAGATTGGCATTGCCACCTACAACATGGCCTCAGTGGACTTTGATGGCTTCTACTCAGCCTTCCTCCCTGAGTTCCTGGCCAGTTGTGATGGTGTGGACTCCAACCAGAAGAACGTGCTGGGGAGGAACTTCAAAATGGACAGGGTAAGGAGGGGAAATGCTGCAGTGGAGTGCCAGGATGCTTGGGGTTTTTTTTTTGGTAGAACATGTGGGCAGGCAGCTGTGAGCTTCTCAGGGCAGTGTTCTGAGGCTGTGCCTTCTGTTCCAAATGCTTCCAGGCTCAGCAGTGCCCAGACAAGGGGTTTTCACTATAGGCAGCAGAACTAGTGGCTCATCTTGGGTCAGCACCAGTGTGGGCTGCAGGAGCAGGGCAGGGATCATCCCTCTGGGCTCAGCACTGGGGAGGCTCCACCTCAAATTCTGGGGTCAGGTTTGGGCCCCTCACTCCCAGAAAGACCTTGAGGGGCTGGAGTGTGGCCAGAGAAGGGCAACGAAGCTGCTGGGGCAGGGTCTAGAGGCCAAGTGTGGGGAGGAGCAGCT